CATTCAGAATTGAAAGAGACAAAAACAGTTCACCAAACAAAAGCTAAAGGAGTTTATCACTACTAAACCAGCCATATAAGAAATATTAAAGGGATTCTTTCAGTAGAAAAGAAAAGACCATACTGCAAGTAAGAAAATCAAGAAACGAGAAATATCTCACTGGTAAAAAAAAAACATTCAATAAAGGTAACAGGATCAATCACTTACAAAGCAATGAAGTTCAACAGGTAAAAGTATTATTAAAATGAAATATATACATAAAAATTACTCAAGCTATATATATTATAAAGAGGAGAATAAAAAATTCATGCTTTTAAGTTGTGTTTAAACTTAAGCAACCATATTGACTGCTATATGTAGAATGCAATTCATTAACTTCATGGTAACCAGAAAGCAAAAACCTATGAAACATACACAAAAATAAAGAGTAAGGAATCCAAGCATTACAGTAAAGAAAGTAATCAAATAACAAGAGAAAAAAGCACAAGAAGAAAGGATCAGAGAACCCAAAGAACCAACAAAATGGCAGTAAGCTGACACATATCAATAATTATATTAAATGTGAATGAACTATGTTACAATCAAAAGACATACAGTGACTGAATGCATTAAAAAAACAAGACCCACCTATTGCACACCTATTGCACACTCATTTCACACGTAAAGACACTTAGAGACTGCAAGTGACGGCTCAGAAAGAGGTACTCCAAGCAAATGGAAGCAAAAGAACAAAATGGAACTGAAAACTGTAATAGCAATACTGACATCAGATAAAACAGATTTTAAAACAAAGAATCCAGAGACAAAGGACATTACATAAGGATAAAGGGATCAACCCATTAAGAGATTATAAAAATTTTAAGTATCTATGCACCCAAAACAGAAGCACCAAAATACACAAAGCAGATATTAATGACATAAAGGGAGAAACTGAAAATGATATAATAACAAGGAGACATTAACACCCCACTTCCATCAATGGATAGATCATCCAGGCAAAATCAGTAAGAAAACAGCGGTTTGAAAAATACATTAGGCCACATAAACTTAACATACATACACAATATTTCAACCCTCAACCCCGCCAAAAAAATACCAGAATGTACATTGTTTTCAAGTGCTCACGGAACACTGTCCAGGGCAGATCATATGTCAGGCCACGAAACAAGTCTCAATGAATTAAGAACACTGAAGTCATATTAAGCATCTTTTCTGAGAACAATAGTATAAAACCAGAAATTGATCACAAGAAAAAACTAGAAAAAACACAAGCACGTGGAGGCTAAACAATATGCTACTAAATAACCAATGGGTTAATGAAAAAATTAAGGAAGAAATTTTAAACATACATGGAACAAATGAAAATGTAAATATAACACTCTGAAATCTATGGTATGGGACACAGCAAAAGCAGTACTGAGAGGGATTATATAGCAATGCAAGTTTTCCCTCAGAAAACTAAAAACAGGAATACCATGTGACCCAGTAATTCCACTTCTAGGAATTTATCTAAAGGAAACAAAATCACTAATTCAAAAAGATATATACACCCCTTTTAAAGTTATTTTTATTACTTATGACAGCCAAGATAGGAAAGCAACCTAAGTGCCCACTGACAGTAGAATGGATAAAGATGTGGTACATATACACAATGGAATACTACTCAGCCATAAAAAAGAATGAAATCTTGCCATTCATGACAAAACAGATGGACCTAGAGAATATTATGCTAAGTGAAATAAGTCAGACAGAGATAGACAAATACTATATGATTTCACTTATATGTGGAACCTAAAAAACAAAACAAACAAAAAAGAAAACCCAGGAACACACTCATAAACAAACAAAACAAAGTGGTGGTTGCTAATGGGGAGGGGGTTGAGGGAATGGGCAGAATAGGTGAAGGGGATTAAGAAGCACAAACGTCCAATTATAAAATCAGTAAGTTATGAGGATGAAAAGTATATCACAGGGAATACAGTAAATAGTATCATAATAAATCTGTATGATGACAGATGATGACACTGTCAATCACAGTGAACATTTAATAATGTAATATGTATGTTGAATCACTGTTTTAAACCTGATCTAGTATGTCAGCTATACTTCAAATTTTTAAAAATTTTTAAAAGGATATCTGAACCTAATTATGTGATATGAAAAAGGCATTGCAAATAAATGCCAGTTATATCTCAATAAAACTGCAGAAAAATATGTAAATAAAATCACTTCCTTACTTTCAAATTAAATTCCATCTTAATCTGGTTTATAAGCCAATCAAATATATGCATCCTGTCAATGCATGAAGTGGACAAGGACAAAATTTTATGATTATGATTTTCAAATCTAAAACAAATTTTCATAAAGATATTCAACAAATGTTAATTAGGTGTTATTTTTATACTTTAGTTCAAACAATACATACTTCTGCTTATCTCACTTTCAACAATTACCTTTAATTGTTTCCTCCACAACTTCTACCACTCGATCTATCTGTTGAACCTAAAAAGAAACAAAATGTCAGATAAGCAATTTACATGGTGAAGAAAAATTAACTTGTGTTTATCCTTCCTGAGTCAATGTTACACATTTATTAAACATATGAATGTGGATTTTCTTTAATTAATGCACTGGGAGATACTATAAAAATATTTCATATTAATGTTGTGCATTACAATGAAGTATAAAATTATCACTCTTCTGTCTTCCAAATATCAATTGAAGAAATCATATTATATTTAAATCAACTTCCTGCAGTGCTGTTAGCATAGCAGATTAACACAAACTTAACATGTCCTGAAGCATAAACCAAGTTAAACACATCTCATTACACAGAATTTCAAGGAAAATGGCACAAAATGGCACCCTACACAAAAAGACACGCTGGGATTAAGACATACCCCAAGTTCTGTGCTTTATTATTTTAACATTGAAACCCCTTGTAATGAATTTCCACCACGTGCTGGGTGCTGTGGTCAGGTCCGTGGAACACAAGGTCAAGTAGCCACAGTCCTGCCCCCAGCCCCGGTGACCGGGGAAGGTCCCGAGGTGCCCTGCAAACACGCCAGGCTACTAAAGTCCAACTGGCCCAGGAATGCTGCCTCAGGGGCCAAAGGCGACTCTGCAGGGAGAAGCAGAATTAAGGCAGGAGAAGCCCCAGAAAGAGACTGAGTTAGAGCGGCTAGAGTTCAGCAGGAAAATGAAAGAAACAAAGATTGTATCCAAGAACCTAAATGAAGAGAGAATGTCAAGAAAGAATGTATCATACATTGTTACTCCTTCTACTTTAAAAATCCTCAAATGATCACTGTATTACAGAAATTATGTATGTTCACTGAAAAAATTCAAACAAAAATACACAGAGGAAATAAAGTAATCCTTAACATCCTCTGCATTCCACTTTCACTCTTCATATGAAATAGTCTAATTAAACGACAGTTTAATTAGATACCAATGCATTTTTCAGTGCTAAACATTTATATATATATATGATCCTGTTCTTACGAATTATGAGCTAAGTAGATGGATTAATAAATGGACGGAACAGCAGACCTGCCCCTTAGCTTTTCTTTCTATAAAACATCAGTACGTATCGGTCTACTGCACTCACTTTACTAGCTGCCTAGCACACCTCGTGTACACACACCGTCATGCATTTACCCATTTCCCTACTGAAGGACCTTTGTGCTATTTCTAGTTTTTTCATTATTATACAACAGTGCTGCAATGAACTCAACTGAGATGAGAGCCTTTTTTAAAGACTTTATTGAAAGTGCAATAGAAAATCTCTTTAAAATACTTCCTCGGCCTCAGTGTCTCATAGGAAATAGGGAAGACTTGCAGGAACCTGCCTGAGTGGTCTGCCTCTGACCACTCAGCCCTGCACGATGGTAGCAGTCGTAATAATTATAGAGAAATTGTCAAAGGTAAAGAGATTCTCAGAGAATATTGGCTCCTCAGGCCCAAACAACGTATCCACAACTGGAGATGGGTCCACCCAGAACCACTGGGCCCTTTAGGTTCTGGTTTTGGTAAGAGAGTCCACGGGGCTTCCTTAGAGGATGTGATCAAAGCCAGGACAGCAAGAGCTCAAAGAGGAGCAGGAAGCCACAGTGTCAAATGCTACAGGGACAAGTACCGTGAAGACTCAGACGGGCGAGCCTATTAATAGTAAGGGGGTCGATGAACTCAGGGGTGCCAGTGAGCTCAGTATAATGGATCATCAATAAGAAAATGGTGACAGCTGATACAGATGGCTCTTACAGAAAGCTACACAGGCAGAGGCACAGCCCAGGGCGCGGGAGGAGCTGCACAGGCCGCTTCTGAAGCAGAAGCGCAGAGGGGAGCCGGCAGCAAGCATCAGGAGTCGCACAGAAGTCAGAGAGGATGCAAAGCAAGTTTCCCACCTGTAGGCCTCAATTTTCTCAGTGAAATAAGAGGCAAGTTTATTTGCTATGAATGAGAAAACGTATTATTAAATAAGAACAGAATGAATATTTAAAATACCTGTTAAAAAGAGTGACTAGGAACATGTAAAAATTGCCAGAAAGTATTGAGATACCAGTTGAAATTAGAAACCATGAATTTTTAACAATGATTTACAGCTCTAATGTTTCCCAGTGCCTAGCAGTTCACGTGTAGGAGCCCGGTTAGATAAATGGATTGATCCAAGGTTTTTCCATTACATAATTCATTCATTCACTCATCATTTCTTGAACATCAAGCATACACCAGATCGGTTCAAAGGACTGGAGAAAGAGGGCCGAGAGATTTACAGGATGGGCTTGAAGGATATGGAATAAAGGAAATTATGCATTTGGTAAGACAAAGCTTGGAAAACTTGTTAGAAGGGGAAAGAGGCAGAGACAGAGCCAGAAAGGAGAAATGAAGTGGCTGGAGGATGAAGGGGAGAAGGAAGCAAGAAAAGGGAGAGTGGGAAAGAGGGAGGGAGAAAGAAAGGAGACAAAGGAGAAAAGAGTAAGAGGTTATAATTAGAGTATGGATACAAGCAGTATTTTTTAAGAATAGCAAGGTTCAAAACATGGTCATGGGTGGAACAACAAATGCTGGCAAGGATGCAGAGAAAGGGGAACCCTCCTGCACTGCTGGTGGGAATGTAAGCTAGTTCAACCACTGTGGAAAGCAGTATGGAGGTTCCTCAAAAAACTATAAAGAGCAATACCATTTGACCTGGGAATCCCACTCCTAGGAATTTACCCAAAGAAAACAACTTCTCAGATTCAAAAAGACATATGCACCCCTATGTTTATTGCAGAACTATTTACAATAGCCAAGATATGGAAGCAACCTAAGTGTCCATCAGTAGATGAATGGATAAAGAAGATGTGGTACATATACACAATGGAATATTATTCAGCCATAAGAAGAAAACAAATCCTACCATTTGCAGCAACATGGATGGAGCTAGAGGGTATTGTGCTTAGTGAAATAAGTCAGGCAGAGAAAGACAAGTACCAAATGATTTCCCTCATTTGTGGAGTATAACAATAAAGAAAAACGGAAGGAACAAAATAGCAGCAGACTCACAGACTCCAAGAAGGGACTAGTGGTTACCAAGGGGGAGGGGTGGGGGAGGACAGATGGTGAGGGAAGGAGAAGGGGACTGTGGGGTATCATGACTGGTGCACATGGTGTGTGTGGGGTCATGGGGAAGAGAGTGTAGCTCAGAGAAGACACACAGGGACTCTGTGGCATCTTACTACACTGATGGACAGTGACTGCAGTGGGGTATGGGGGGGACTCATTAATAAGGGTGAATGTAGTAACCTCATTGTTTTTCTTCTGAAACCTTCATAAGAGTGTATGTCAATGATATCTTAATAAAAAAAAACCTGGTCATGGGAACAAGCTTCTAAAACAGGAAGAAGGTGATAACCAGTCGAGGTGAGAAGTACAGAGGTGAGAGGATAAATGCTGGGAGACACCATGTGTGGATGCTCAGACTGCCCACAGTGTTGGGAGACATGGGTAGGGTAAGAAGGAAGAGTTGGTCAAATTTCGCAGTGAAGGTGGGTGAATGAACAAGTTATCAGTTGAGGACAGAAGCCAGAAAATATGCAGAGTGCAGTGCGAGATAATTCAATGATGGGACCAAAACAAAAACGCTTTCCTCTGCAGCTGGAGATACTGTGGCTCACAAGGACCACCTGCCCTGCACCATGTGGACTGAGGAGGAGGCACCATCCCTGCAGGAGCCCCAGGAGGAACCATGATAGGGAGAAGGCTGAGGGTGAGCCACAATGACAGAATCCTGGAGGAAAACAGAGATACCAATCTCCAGAACGCTGGATTAAACAATGGCTTCTTCGACATCACACCAAAAGCATAAGCAACCAGAAAGAAAAGATAAACTGGACATGATCAAAATTAAAACCTCTGGTGTATACATCAAGAAAATAACAAGCCTACACTGCAAATCACAAACCTCATTAAGGACTTGTACCTAGAATATCTAATGAACTCCTACAACTCAATAATAAGAAGGCAAGATACTTAAAAACGCATCAAAGATATGAATACACACTTCTCTAAGGAAGACGTACAAATGGCCAACACACACATGAAAAGATGCTCAACATCATTAGCCAACCAGCAACTGCAAATCAAAACCCCAAAGGAGGGATGGGGAGATGTTACTTAATGGGTATAGATTCTCAGTTCAGAAAGATGAAAATGTTCTGGAGACGGATGGTGGTGATGGTTGCACAACAGCGTGAGTGTGCTTTGTGCCACTGAACTGCACACTGAAGATGGCTGAAAGAGTGAATTTGTGTTAGTGTATTTACCATAATGAGACCACACTTCGTACTCACTAGGGGGCTACAATCAAGAGGTCAGACAAACAACAAGCACGGTAAGGCTGCAGAGAATTCCGGACCCTCACACACCGCCAGGGGAATGTAGTAAAGTGGCACCATTGCTTTGGAAGACAGTCTGGGAGATCCTCAAGCAGATAAAGACAGTGTTACCCGATGACAAAGCAATTTCAAGCCTAGGTGTGTATCCATGAACGTATGTCCACACGAACACTTTTACGGCAATGCTCAGAGCAGCGTTATTCATAATAAGCAAAAGGTAGAAGCAGCCTACATCCCCTCAACTGATGGATGAACAAAAGGCAGTGTGTCCGCACAAGGAGACACCATGAAGCCCGAGGGGATGAAGCTCTGACACAGAGGGGACCCCCCTGACCCCCAGCTTCACCTCTTCAGTTTTAACTACCAAGAGTCTGGAGGCAGGTGATCCTTCCAACTGACTGTCAGAAGGTCAACAATAGCCCTGAAGCTGTGGAACAGCGCCTATGTCACGCCCCTCACTTCACCTCATCACACAGGCATTCTATCATCTCACATCATCATCATCAGAAGGTGAATGCAGGCCAGTAAGATATTTTGAGAGAGAGAGAGAGAGGGACTATGTTCACATAACTTGTATCACAGAATATTGCTATACTTTTCTATTTTATTATGAGTTCTTACTAA